CATGTTCACATTGTTCCCTGCCCAGCTATTCCCCAGATGGTACCAAAATTACACTACAGCAATCTGTCTTTATCTTCATTCCGTAATGAATAAAATACATATCCTTCAGTTTCTTTACTAATTTAATTGCTTTCCTTCTGTCTTCAATTCTCTGTCGTAATTTTAAGAGCAGAGACTCAGGCTCCTGTCTCAGAGCCTCAGCCTGTGATGCCCCATGGTGACCCTTAGAAAGAGGAGAGTTTCAGGCTCTGGAGCTGGTAACTTGGCCATTCTCATGGCAAACCTTGTGCTCTGGCATGAAAAACCACTAATTGAGTAGCAGGGTTTCTGTGCTATTCATGATCCCTTGATAGCTGTGTTGTTCTTGCACTTTTGCATAGTTTGGGCATATGCAAAACAATGTTTATCTCACCTTAGAAACAGCATGGGTAATTGTGTTTTCTTACAATGCATCACACCTGCATCACCTTGAAGTGTTATAAAAGCAACTTTTTATTCAGAGAGTGGGAGCTGGTCTGTCATATCCACCTCAGGCTTGCTGCTGGCATTTGCACTTGCCCCTGAGTCACCTCCTTCCTTCAAACAGTTTTGCTCAGGTTGGGCAGTCCCCGAGCACAAACGATGTGTGTAGAAAACACTCATTCATGCTCACAGCACTGAAAACCAAAGCTTAAAAATGAGTACACATATGTCTGAACTAGCCCAAAATGGCAGGTGAGAAACCACAGCCTGCTGGATGTTGTGAGTGGGGCTGTGCCACTGAAAGCAGTCTCTCTTTTAATGAGGTGGCTCAGAGGGTAATGTCAAACCTGTATTTGTTTTCCTTTCCTTCTGGGGACATGGCACGTAGGTATAGTGGGCAGGAGGCAAACAGCCAGGTCTGCAGTAGCCTTGTAGATCTTCTCCTTGTACCAGGTGGGATTTTCATGGCACTGACCACAGTGGTGTCTGCTGGAGCTGCTGATAGTTTGGCCCTATGGACCTGATGGGACCTTCACAAACCTTGTAACAAGGCACTTCTACGCATCTACTCACGGGCATCTGGCTGCTTGGGCAACCTAAGCAGCAGGTTTCAGGTGTCACATCATCTCATCTTCCTTTTCAGCCCAGGTTTGCTGCTGTAAAAGAGCCTCCTCAGCAAGTATGGGGTTGCTGAGCAACAGGGTATTGCCGGGTGGGCTGTGGGAGGGCTTCATCTCCCTGCCATGCACAGAAAGGAAACAACAGACAGGAAAAATCAAGGTTTGGATGGAAGGGGAGGGGCTCCTGCTCTTCCTGAGGTCCTCTGTAAGCCCTGCGTGGGTCTCACTGCCTGCAGGGCCCGGATAAGACCTTGGCTGCCACCAGAGCAGCTTCACAGGACAGGGTGGAAGTCAGCCCAGGGTGTGGTGCAACATGATTACTCTCAATAGTATTTTTCATTAATCGCATCCAAGATAATAATTAAACTATTGCCAAATAACCAGTACAGACTTGATATCAAGCTGCTTATCACTTCCATCCCAGTTCAGGCTGGATGTGTGGATTAATAGCTAGAGCAGCTTGACACATTTTCAATTCTTTCAAAATGGAAAACGTGTCTTTTTGAATGATACAGAACTCATAGCACTTGGGAGGATGCGATCACTTCCTTTTACTCCGTTTTCCTCCCGATTGCATGATTATGAAAGAAACATCTGTTTTGAAGTGATCTGCAACATAAAAATTTTTGTTCCAGTTGGATTTGTAATGAACAACTTCTGTGACACACTCTCATTCTCTCCACC